AAAGAAAGAAAGAAAGAAAGAAAGAAAGAAAGAAAGAAAGAAAGAAAGAAAGAAAGAAAGAAAGAAAGAAAAGCTTTCATGTTCCATCCAAAACTATAAACACAGCAACTAAGTTCTGGTGACTCTTTGCCGGAAAGGCCTCCACTGTTACAGTTCGAGGAAGCAAAGGGTGAATCCCTTGGGCCCAGCTCAGCACCTGCACTCTTCGCAGGCTTAGCTGTGCAGTTGGCTTGGCAGACCCCCATTAAGCGGCTCGCCAGGGCTTCCTTCCAAGAGGCTGGGGTGTTGTGTCCCCCCCCCCCACACACACTTCTCCGTCTAGACTCTGCCCAGACTTGCTGGAGGATTCCCAAGGACTAACTGAACGTGACCTCGCTCGGCCTTTCACGATCAGCCAAAGGTAGCAGCATCTTTGCAAGAAGATTTTTTCCAACCCCATCAAATGCGCAAAACCATTTTGGGTCCCTTTAGTTGTGCTGGGATTGCAATTCCCAGAATCCTCAATGCCACACTGCTGGGGAAGGTTACCGTACTCCGTCAAATGGCGTGGTGCCAGGTGGGCACCAGGCAAAGCCCCCTCCCATTTTCTTCCATCAAACAGCAGAACGGAGCCCAGAAACTCCTCTGAGTAGTAGACACAGAGAGTGGAATTGAGTGCCATGAAATCAGCACAGCTCACTCAGCAGCAAAGCGATTCTAGCTGCACCGTTTAAATTAAATGACTGGAGTCTTAGGCCCAGGTGAGCTATGGACTCCATCTGATCTCTGATTTCTTCATACTGAACATCGGCAAAAATTCAGGAGCAAGAAGGCCTGTTTTAAAATATTGATAAAGCAACAAAAACACAACTTTTAAATCGTGTACAATAAGGGAGGGAGGGGATGGGAGGAAGGAGGAAGGAAGGAAAGAAGGAGAGAGAAAAAGGGAAGACGGGAGGGAGGGAGGGAAGAAAGGGAAGGAGGAAAGAAAGAATGTAGGAAGGAGAGGAAAAAGGAAGGAAAAGCAAGGAAGAGAAAGAAAAGGGAGNTTCTATTCTATTCTATACCACTTGAAACTCGATTGCAAAAAATATGACTTCAGCAACAAAGTGGTCAGCACTTGGAATGCTCTACCTAACTGTTGTTACATCCTCAAACTCCCACAGCTTCAACCTCAAACTGTCCACCGTGGACCTCACCCCATTCCTAAGAGGTCCTTAAATGGACGTGCATAAGCGCACCAGCGTGCCTACCGTCCCTGTCCTATTGTCCCCATTTACTTGTACCCATTTCTTTTGTTCATCTCCATGTTTATACTTATATTTGTTATCTTGTACATGTTAGACAAACGAAATAAAATAAATAAATTTATTTACCAAGTATTGAGCAAACCATGGCTTAGTTTATGTGTCAAGAACCATAATATTCATTCATTCAGTAAACTATGACAAAATGTGAACAATAAGGATGGAGACACAAGTAGGTCTACTTTGCCCTCTGGAGGTAAAACTCAGAAAAATGCCGTTTCTGACCACAATCTTGCTTTCGTTTGTATTTATTGATTCTATAAAACAGTGTTTCTCAACCTTGGCAACTTTAAGTCCTGTGGACTTCAACTCCCAGAATCCCCCAGCCAGCTGCGCCAAGGTTGAGAAACACTGCTATAAAAAAACCTTTTTGCACATGCGAAATGGCCCATCCAGTTTAGCCTATCTGGGGCTTATTTTGGGGGTAGGGCTTATATTACGAGCATCCTGAAAAATCATGCTAGGACTTATTTTCCAGTTGGGTCTTATTCTCAGGGAAACACAGTAGATGCAAGAGAGACATTCCCTGAGGATGGGCTCCAGCATGAGTCCGGACGCTCGGAAGACAAAACCTCTGTTCCAGGGTTGGGTTGCTCCCGGATTTACTGCTGGTCCGGTGCATGCAAAAATTTTGCGCGTGGGCGCATTTGCAGAAAAATAGTTCTGCGCATACACAAAACGTTAAAAAAAGGGGGGAGAAATTAAATTTGTGCAATCTACAATTGTTCTGCGCATGTGCAGAAATTAAAATCAAGACGGCGGCCCCGTCGGAGAACTAGTTCGGGGGGCATGGCAGGCCTGGGTCGCTGCAGGTTCCAGCTACCCAGGCCACCAAATCACTACCAGTTCGGCCGATAGGAACCCACCTCTGCTCTCGTCCCAGTGACCGACCCAGATTGGATCCTGCTATCTGACTTACAGTATATCAGCATTACTAGGCCAAAAGAAAACGAGGGCGTCATACACACACACACACACACCAACCCTTTGCTGCTCAGGCAAAGCCCTTCTGACCCACCTTTGACTTCCCAGTCATCTTCTTGAAGAAGCTGAGGGTGCGACCCAGGGCATTCCCTTCCTTCTGCCAGTGTTCCTGGTCCTCGGCCTCCACCGTGCTGGTATCCAGCTGCCCACAGCTCCCACTGCTGAAGCTGAAAGCATGGGGAAAAAAGAGCAAAATGAGGAAAGGAGAAGGATGGAAGAAGCCAGCAAACAGACACAGGCACACACACACACCACCACCACCAAACAAAACCTCTTTTTGTTGTCATTGTTCCCCAGGCCAGGAAGCAGGGAGGGAACAACTCCACTGGCAGCCCTCCGTGACCTCAGGAGGATGGCTGCTCCTATTACCAGCTGGGGAGATGACACATAGAAGCATCTCTGTTGGCTTAGCCTCTCTGGGAAATTAGCAGAGCCAACGGAAAGATGGAAAGGAGCTTAAGATTCGGCAACGTTCACATCCCATTTCTTCCATCCAGTCTCTTTATTTTTATTTATTTATGATGATGGAGGAGGAGGAGGAGGAAAGGAGGAGAAGGAATAAAGAGGAGGAGGAGAGGGAGAAGAAGTAGAAAAGGAAGGGGGAAAGGAGGAGGAGAACAAAGAAAGAGGAGGAGGAGGAGGAGAATAATTATTATTTTTATCATAGTCATAGAACAGACTCCAGAACAAATAAAAACACTGAATATATATACAATTAAAAATTCTGGAATAAAATAACAGATAGAATCTCTCATAAAATCCAGTCTGTCAATTATACATGGTCTATACTAGAATTTAAAATTAACTAATATTTATTTATGCATTTACTTATCCAATTTACTCGCCACTCCTCTTACCACAAGGTAACTCTGGGTGGCTTCCAATACAGGTACCGCTCGACTTACAACAGTTCGCTTAGTGACCATTCAAAGTTACAACAGCATTGAAAAAGTGACTTTTGACCATCTTTCACACTTACGACACCATATTTTTTGGAGTATAAGACGCAACGGAGTATAAGACGCACCAAGATTTTGAAGATGTAAATTTAAAAAAAAAAAACTTTGCATTTTGCAGATATCCCAAACCCTCTGCACATCCATTTTTGTGAAGGGAGTGAGATTTCAGGAGGCCAAAAAGGTTGCATTCAGTGTATAAGATGCACTCAGATTTTCAGCCTCTTTTTGGGGGGGGGATGCATCTTATACTCTGAAAAATACAGTATATCCCGCTTCACACTGATTTACAGCCCTCTCTAAGCAATTTACAGAGTCAGCTTCCTGCCCACAACAATCTGGGTCCTCATTTTACCCACCTCGGAAGGATGGAAGGCTGAGTCAACCTTAGCCGGTTAGAACTGAACTGCTGGCAGTTGGCAGAGTGAGTCTGTTCATTTGGTCATTGTTCAAAGTTACAACAGCACTGAAAAAAGGGACTTATGACCGTTTTTCACTTACAACTACTGTTGCAGCATCCCCATGGTCATGTGATCAAAATTCGGATTTTGGCAACTGGCTCCTATTTATGACCGCTGCTGTGTCCCAAGGTCACGTGATTTTCCCCTTTGCGTCCTTCTGACAAGCAAAGTGAATGGGGAAACCAGATTCACTCAACAACCAGGTTACTAACTCATCAACCGCAGTGATTCACTTAATAACTGTTGCAAGAAAGATTGTAAAAAGGAGGGAAATTCACTTAACAAATATCTCGCTTAATAAAAATGCTGGGCTCAATTGTGCTCGCAAGTCGAGTAATACCTGAAAGCAATTCAAGTCCAATTCAGTTCCAGCGTTGCTGGAATTCTTGCAGTGTAATTTTACCCTTTCTTGTAATAAATACTTTTAATTAGATTTCATGGGTTCTTGTTCCCTGAGTAAACTCTTTCCAATCTCAAGTTCAGGAAGGTAAATCTGGTAAAATGGAAGTTTCTGATGTCCTGCAAATTCATGGGCATTATCCTGTGTCCCCGAAAATAGGACCTCTCTGGATAATACACCCAATCGGGCTTTTGAGCGCAGGCGCTAAAATAAGTCCTCCCCTGAAAATAAGCCCCATCCGAAAATATTGCAACACAGCAGCAGCCATGAGGTGACCACGCTCGCCGCCTCCTGCACCTCAAAAATAATAAGACCTCCCCGAAAATAAGGCCAAGTGTTTATTTGGGGGGGAGGGAGGTCAAAAGAAACTAAGACCCTGTCTTGTTTTCGGGAAACACAGTATAATGCCCAGAAATACAGGAATTGTGAGTGTTTTATGATTTCAAAACATCTGCAGATCACCAGGGATTGGAGCTGCAACAGACATCTTCTCACAT